CTACTCTCTCTGCCGTTGCGTTCACGATGGACTCCCACCCTTCAATCACCCTGTCCCCTGCTGTCTGTACGTCTACCTGTCCGTCTTCGACGCTTCTCAGCAGTTTCCTGAAGGATTCTACACTACCAGCCAGCCCCTTCTGGAATTCATCCCGTGTCCCATCGTCTCCCAAACGCTCTACTTTCCACCGGAACACTTTCCTCTGTTTCTTAGTCTTGATCTTTCTAGATCGGTCGATGTTTGCCCACATGAAGTGGTCGGTCGAACCTATATCTATCGCACTTACGTGCAGCTCTGGGATCTGCGTGCTCCCCCTATCTACCAGGATGTAGTCGAGGATTGAGTATTCGTTGCAAAAGGGGAGGGGGGGGGACTCATGTTTTGTTGCATGCCTTAGCGGTTAGACCATTGAGTGCGCGTCCTCGAGAGTACGGAGCACTGCTGTTCCCACAGGACCGATCATCGATAGCCAATCGTTCCTTCCTACTTTGCCAAAGGTGGCTCAACCATGTTTTCCCTACCCTATCTATCCTATCCAGAGGGGGCGGCTCGGGCATGAGGAGGGATGAAGGGGTGGGCGGGGCGGTGGTCCTTGGGGGAGGAGGGAGAAACAAGATGAAGAAGTAGTTACAAGTTCGACGGGAGACTTGACAAGCCGGTTGCAGCTGTGTAGTAAGCACACAATGATGAAAGCTTTGCCATGGTTTTGTAAGGGGGTTTTAAGCTTGAGGCGTTGCGCCTTTGCGGTTGCTGTCATTTGCAGTATATACGTACCCTTTCTTCTGCTCCGATGTCACCCAACCCCCCGTTGTTGGTTGGTTATTGTTGGTTTTTGCAGAGGGCAAGTCTTGGCCATCAAGGTTGAGATCGTCAACTATATACAAGCCGGTGGCAAACATCCCCACCATACACACACACACACACACGCACGCCTCTACTACGCCCCCCTCCCACAGTCCCGCAGCGGCTGTTCCAGCCCAGCTGTACCAGCCCAGCTGTCCGTCGTTCTGAGTGTCGATATCAGCCAGTCAGCACAGACACACACACCCTTTCGACTAGAAAAGCTTGTTCGCGTTTAATTTTCCCGCTGCAAGACGGACGTCCTTTGATTGGTGAACCGGCTGAGTAGCGCACTCGAACCTTCATCCAGGAAGACGCACACTCCCCTCTCCTGTACGTGCCCAAGGAAAAACAAGAAAAAACACGTCCTGTTGCCGTGTCCGTCCCTGTGGAGAGCGCAGGTACATCGAGGCCAGCAAGACGAGGATCGGCAGCTTCGCCGCCGGCGGCGACGGCGAGGAGGCCGAGGTAAGAGCGAGGAGCTCCCGGCGGACGCTCGTGTACGTGTTCGACACGTGCCTCCGGCTGCTGCACCCCTTCATGCCCTTCGTCACTGAGGCGCTGTGGCAGCAGCTGCCGAGGACGGGGGAGGCGCTGATGGTGGCCCCGTGGCCCAAGGTGGACGACGCGCCGCTCGCGGTGGACGAGCTGGCGATCGGCAGGTGACGGGGCGAGGGAGCGAGCGGGAGAATGCGTCTTGTGTGTGTGTGTGTGTGTGTATGTGTGTGTGTGCCTTTGACCGCGCTAACAGGCTGACCAATGGAAAAGGTGTGTTGTGTTTGTGTGTGTACTTTTAATATTAATATTGTTGGCATCGACCGCGATAACTGGCTGACCAATGAAAATACGTCAGTCTCAGTGGGGTTTGAAAACCCGAAATGCTTCGACACGCCACGACGCGGAACCGTGTGATTCAGCGTCATTGGGGAGTCTATGCTACTCTCCGGATTAATAGAAAGTGTGTGCGTGTGCTCTTTCGAGTTGATGTCGACCGCGCTACATGTACTGTAGCTACCTGGCCAGTGAAGGGTGAAAATATGCCATTCTTAACTGCCATATGGCGGGATAAAGACCGCGAACGAACGCTTGTGGGTATGTTGGGTGGCTGTCGCTCGATCTGTGTCCCTCGGTTGTACGGCACGGGGCATTGCCATCCCCCTGTGTCTTCTCCTCCTTCATTCTGCTGGTTCAAGGATTGTTGCACTATTTGGTTTTTTTCCAGAACACTTTTGAACCTCCCGCGGCGGAGGCATGGAAGCCCTCAGCCCTACCTCAACTCCCTTGAAGTAGCAGCAGCAGAAGCGAAGGGTCACCACGCACGTTAGCCATATTTTTCTGCCGCTAGGTTCGCACGCTCGCGCTTCTTCTCCAGCCACATCACGTATCCCCGTACCCCCCGCCCCCCCTTTTTATTTTGCGTCTCCCCTGACTTGTGTGCGTCTTTGTTTTCGCCGTGTCTGGGCGGTCAGGTTCGAGGCGGTTCAGTCGCTGGTGCGAAGTGTCCGGAACGCTAAGGCGGAGTATAAGGTCGAGCCTGGCAAGAAGATTCCCGCTGTTGTGCAGGTGCGGCCGCAAGAGAGAGATGAGAGGGCCGGATTAAGCGAGAGATTTGTTTGCTAGTGTAAAGTACTCCTTCTATTCTCTGTCGTTGAGTATGTGGGGTGACTCTCTTGGATTCCTGAGACGAACAACGACAACAGCAGCGGTGGAGCGAGGTGGTGAGATCTACTCTGGCGCCGTCCGGCGTGTTTGTTCGAAGACCCCTGCTGCTGCGTTGCGTGCTTCGTCGATTGGTTAGCTCTGTGTCGAGTTGGATACACTTCGCGATTCGCCACCCCATTCGAGGAGTGGCGAGGGGCCATGCGCAACGCTGGTACACAACAGCGTTATGCGACCGTGAGATGTTTGTACGGCTCTGTTGGTGTGCGTGCCTCCACAAAGCCAGCTAGCTCCATGGTGGCGACGTCGTCGTGGTCAGATTTTCTTCTCCGCTTCAAGTCGAACCGTTTTGGCGTTGGTCGTCGTCGATGCGTGAATCTTTTTTTTTTTGTCGCCCGCATCCACCCACCAGGTTTCGGACAAGGCCCTGCGATCAGACGTGATTAAGGAAGTGGCAGCGCTGTGCCTCCTTGGCCGGCTGGATCCCGAGGGCCTGGAGGTGCAAGGGCTAGACGGACCGCCGGAGGGACAAAACGTCCACCTTGTCGTTCAGGTAGGCTCGCAGCATTCCACGGCATTCCCCCACCCCACCGCCCCTACCCCCCCTAACGCAGGATTAGTTGCCG